AGATTATTCATGTTCTCCTCTCTGGTTTGCACAGAGCTCAGATTACTTTGGGATGAAATTGTTCAAGTTATTACAGAAGAGGAGACCAAGATGTGCTCTTCAAAGAACTTGTAGTGCCTCTATGATAGGCTGAGTGAATTAATACATACAACTATAATGGCTACTTAAACATTCATTTTCAAAGGCTTATCATACACAGAACATATTTAACAGCCGAATGTATAGCAAAGATTCATAGATAGATAGATCAAAACTCATATATAGAGGAATTATGACAAGATGCTGCAAATACGTAAATAACACTTTGGGGATCACTTTATATAAGCGAGAACATACACGTGGTTTCATACACGTGTTAACAGTGAAGGTTTGAAGGGAACATACAGGGCATACAGATCTTGTAGCTTACTTGCTAAAATAGCTAGCATGCTAATGAGATTGAGTGAGCCAACTTTTTGGCTCATGTAAACAGCTGACGCACATAAAATGTATTTGAACAATTTTAACCATGATATTTAAACAAATTATTCTCATTGTAAGCTCTGGGGTAATGTCGAAATATGAAACAGCAAACAGTGTATTTACAGCCCCAGACATGTTCAATACAGTCCCCGTACTTTTCCTTCATTTCCATAAAAGATTAGAACAAAGAAACTCCCCCAGGCAGTGAGCAGCAGATCCAGCAAGACAGAATGAGGCGAGAAAAAGTTCAAGTGGTTAGACTGTACCAATTACAGTCGTATGCAAAAATTTGGGCACTCCTGGTCAAATGACATTTTTTGGATTTTCTAAGTGAAAATAAGTGAACGCATCCTCTACAGAGAACACACTTCTGCACATTTTAATGCACAATTACTGTTTCTTTAACATATTAGGGAAAAAAAAGTCCTTTGCAAAAGTTATGACCCATTTGATATATTATGTTTTATCTCTTTTCCAATATGTTTTCAACAAAATCAACAAAAATGTTATTTTTCTAGGGGTATTCAAACTTTTGCACACTACGCTATACTTTTACTATAGCGTGTCAAATATGTCATACATTTGGCTTAAACTATGTTAAGTGATCTCAAATAGACTTATCTGTCACAGTTTGACATACTGTTATCTATAGAAATGGATATAGTTTACAGTTCCAGACTGTCTGTTGTGGCCCATTTCATCCCCCATCAGTGGGAAGGGACCACTACAGGACCACCACTGACCAAACATTATTTGCGTGGTGGAGCATTCTCAGCACAGCAGTGCCAATGACATGGTAGTGTGAGTGGTGCTGGTACGAGTGTACCAGACACAGCAGCGTTGCTGGAGTTTCTATGCATGTCAGTGTCTCTATAAGTTTGAGAGTGGACCGCCACCGCAAAAACATCTAGACAAGAGTGGTCAGAAGCTGACTGTTGATAAGGGCTGGGGGATGACTGACACAAACTGAACATCAACGGTTGGGCTACAGTCTCTAACTGTTCACATTATAATAAGAGCAGTGGCCCTATGGTGGTCTTTTTCCATTGATGAGTAGAGGGATGCTGACAAATTGTGCAGCAACAGATGAGATAAATTCAGTGATTTTCACCTAGAAAGTGCACCTACAGTCATATGCAAAAGTTTGAACATTCCTTGTCAAATTACATGTTTCTTAGTTAAGATTAATATTATATAATATATGGTTAATACATTTCTATTTATTTGCTAAGTTTAACATACTGGAAAAACATAAACACAAAATATAAAATGTGTCTTAATGTGTCTTTGCACAGGCCTCATTTTATGTTTTAGTATTTTCTCAACATGTTAAATTCAGAAAATAAACAGTAATTGTGTACGGTGGCGCAGTGGGTAGCGCTGTCGCCTCACAGCAAGAATGGCCTGGGTTCGATTCCCGGCTGGGTGACCAGGGTCATTTCTGTGTGGAGTTTGCCTGTTCTCCCTGTGTCTGCATGGGTTTCCTCCCACAGTCCAAAAAACATGCAGTCAGGCCAATTGGACATGCTAAAATTGCCCCTAGGTGTGAATGTGTCTGTCTGTCTGCCCTGCGATGGACTGGCGACCTGTCCAGGGTGTATCCTGCCTTCTGCCCAATGAGAGCTGGGATAGGCTCCAGCACCCCACCGCGACCCAGAAGGAAAAGCGGTTTAGATGATGTATGTATGTATTAAAATGTGCTTAAGTGTGTTCTCTGTAGAGGATGTGTTGTCATGTCTCCACCCCTCTGGGGAGACTCAACTTGGACTCTCCCTGGCTCCACCCACTCTCCTCCTCTCTCACACACCTGCAGCTTATTTCTAGGACATTAAGACTCCCATATATAGCCCTTTGTTTGTTTCACTAGTTGTGATGTCTCTGTGTTTCCTACCTGAGTACTGAGTCTTTTTCTTTGTGTTGGTTTTCCCTGTTTTTGACCCCTGCTAGACTCTCTGGTTTTTTGAGTATGGACCTCCCTCTGTTTGGACCCCTGCCTGCTGTGTCTATGAGTATTGGACTGACCCTAATAAAGCTACTTCACATTTCCAACCTGCCTCTGCCCCTACACTACGTGTGTTAACTTCAAATCAACATGTCATTTGATAAGAGGTGTTCAATCTTTTGCGTATGGCTGTATATGAGAGGCGTTTCTGCTAAAATGGCAAAGTATTTCACGTGGTGTTTACATTATTTTGTACACCCTATATATCACATAGCTAAAAACTGCAGTAGTATCTCAAAGCTTGTGCCCGATTTGTCCATTTAATTGTCCGCTACATTCCGTCGAACTATCGCTTTAAAGCAGGGTCATGTTCATTTAATCTGAGGACACACATCAAGCTCTTACTCGTCATGCTCTTCTCTCTGCTTCACTACTCAATGCCTAATTTAATTTTCATGCAGGCATGACTGCATGCTTGTCAAAGATGACATGCCCCATATTAGCTTATCAAAACATCAAAGGGACTCCTTCTTAATTATGCTTCTTATGATATGAAACCAAATATGCAGGGTCTTGTTTTCCACCCCAAACATTTGCTTTGCATCCTTTTTTTTTCTCCTAATGCCCAGCTCTAACAGATCAGAACACAGGTCACCCAGGACAAATAATAATCCACTTGTGTCCTTGTTACCACAGCAACATCATCACATTTATGACAATATTAGTGTATTTACAGCATCATTGCAACACGACCTGTTCCAGACAATAGGGTTATCTAGAACAAAAGAGACTGAATTTGTAGTGCATTACCGGAAGGCATGTGGCTGACTACAATAGAACACAACAGACAGCTTTAAAGTACCCCCAGGGTCGTATTTTAAACTTTAAATATTATTAAAAAAAATGCTGAATGAGTTGTTAAACATGTTCATATAGTATTGTTTTGCACAGAACACTATTTAAATGGCACAGGATCATCCCTAAATCTTAACCCTTACTAAGAACACAAAGATTTATGAATATGCAGAATTATGCAAATTGTAAACACCCCCTTGTCTCACCGCCCATTGCATTCACCAACAGGGATGCTGTGCTTTTTACTTTGGCGAGGGGAATACTGCGCTCTATTTAACTCCCTCTGTAACAGTATTAATTATTTTTTTATTAATTAAATGTTAAACCACAAATAATTGTCAAACAACTATTACTAAATGTTGACCAGTGCTGAGGAAGGCAGAGTCGAGTTGAATATGTTTCCGCAAGGGTCGGCAACCCAAGTGTTGGGAAGAGCCACTTTGTCCTTTCAACAAAAAATCAAACCACCTTGGGAGCCGCAACATTTTATGTTCATTTTGTTGAAGTAACGTTTTACCATCTTGGCTGTAAACATGTCTCAGTATGTGCTAATGTACTAGTATCGTAGACTTACTTCTAGTTCACCTATAGCCGCTTTTCTTGCGTCTCTGGCAGGAAACTTTTCCTCAAAAGTAGAATAGTTTTGTGTAAAATGTCTCTCAACGTTTGATTTTTTAAAGGGTTGAAGTCACTTCTCATTCGCCAGCTTCTTGTTCGAGTTTTCCGTTCCACCTTAAATGGTGCGTGAAGCGCCGGAATGTAACTGCTGCAACATTTAAGGTGGAATGGGAAAATTTTGACAAGAAGCTGACTACAGCTTCCTGACGTTTTGCTCAATGTTTTTTAGGTGGCCCACCAGTGTTTAAGCAGAGCATTAGACAAGATTCCACTTATCGTCGCCCATTTTCTACTCATAGTCCAATTTACTTCCTTTCTTTATTTATACTTTGTAAATGAGTTTAGTAAATAATTTTAATCTAGCTCAGTGTCAGCAACAACATTTCCTCTAAAACCATTTCGTATCAGGCCTAGTCATTATTTTTTTCTCTCTTAGGTGTTTGTAATATTTGTCTTAGTTTATTTTATTTCTAAAATAAAAGTCTGCGTGCATTTAAAATCTCTTTGAGGAGATTAAAAACAAGGTAGAGCATGTATGCGGGACAATAATCTGGGTGGTCCGAGGGTGGACCAGCAGTGTCAAGCAGTCAGTGGGGTGCCAACCTAATCAAGTCAATCTATAAAATCATAATAATCAATATAGCACAATAACGTAATAAAGAGGAGTGAACTATTACCAAAAAATCTCAGTGCAGGGGGGTCTTTAAATGGCTATGTATACCCCATTACTGCTTTATTGCTTTTAAAAAATGAGCTGAAATGATTCAAATACTGTCTTTGAATTTTGCTTTGTTTTTGCTCTCCATAAATGCAGTGGCCTGTCAGTGTACGAAACAGACACTCGAATATTTCACAGATCATTATGTTGGAAGGCAATTCCATCCGCTGACATTGAACACGTATCAGTTCATTTACTGTCACTTTCAAACCCCATTTTCCTTACGAGGAGCAATCAAACCCCAGGTGTGAGCCATTTTTGCATCTGCATCATTTCAGTAATGAGTCAATCTCATAAAACTAATTGCTCAAATTTTTACAGCTTCGGTGCCACCACCATCCAGATTTACAGCACTACTGAATTGTTGACTATAAAATCCTTCAGCATTCACCGAGCCACACTTACTTGATGTCGTCCTCGTTGGCAAAGATGATGACCCCTCGGGCGTTCGGGGTTTCCATTAATCTCTTAATGATCTTGTCAAACTCTCCAGGTTTGGGGTCTCGGGGGATCTTCATGGACTGGGCGATGCACAGGCCTCCTATGACAGGAGAAGATGGACACTGATGCTGAAATTTGTCTTCCTGAAGGTGACCCGCTCTAATCTATATTAATGACCCCTGAGAACTTAGAGACAGCAGATGGGTATAAATGCACACAGCTGTCTTGGACATGCTCTTCTTGACAACCTTTTACGGCACTTTGGGACGTACAGTGCTGTGCGGGATATTAATAGGACAACTAATTTGGTTCAGGTGAGATACAAAAAGCCTCTGTCTCAGGAGGGTCAAGGCCTGATCCAAGACTGGACAGCCACATCACTGCACAGTTACACCTCATTCAGTTCACTTCAAGGCCTTGTAATTAGCAGATGAGTCATATCTAAGGTGTCAAAGGTAAAGTTAAGGTAAAACTGTTACAGGAAACACACAAGGCTCGGCAGCCCTGCAACGAGTTTGACAATCCTGCTCTATATCAGATGCATAAATGTATTAGAATATACATTATATGGACAAAAATACTGGGACACACCTTTTAATCATTGAATTCAGGGTCTTTCATTCAGTCTCATTGCCACAGGTGTACAAAATCAACCTCCTAGTCATGCAGTCTGCCTTTACAAACATCTGTGAATGAGTTGTTCTAAAGAGCTCACTGAATTAGAGCAACAGCAACTCAGCCACGAAGTGTAAGACCACATAAAGTTAAAGAGCGGGTCACCGAGTGCCAAGGCACATAAAAGTCGGCAACGCTCTGCTGACTCAGTAACTGCAAACATCTTCTGGCATTAACATCAGCACAGAAACTGTGCGCCAGCAGCTTCGTGGCATGGGTTTCCATGGCCGAGCAGCTGCATGGAAGCCTTACATCACCAAGCACAATGGTGCCCTCCTGACTGCATTGTGCCAACTGTAAACTTTGGTGGAGGAGGGATGATGCTCTTCGGGTTGTTTTTCAGGGGTTGGCCTAGAACACTTAGTTCCAGTGAAGGGAGATCTTAATGCTTCAGCACCAAGACATTTTGGACAATTGTACACTTCCAACTTTGTGGGAACAGTTTGGAGAAGGCCCGTTTCTGTTCCAGCATGACTGAGCCTCAGTGCACAAAGCAAGGTCCATAAAGGCCTGGCTGGGTGAGTTTGGTGTGGAAGAACTTTGGGATGAAGTAGAACAGAGATTGTGAGCCAGGCCTTCTCATCCAACATTGGCGTCTGACCTCACAAATGCTCTTCTGGATGAATAAGCAGAAATTCCCACAGACACACTACAGAATCTTGTGGAAAGCTTCCCAGAAGAGTGGAAGCTGTTATAGCTGTAAAGGGGGACAAGCTCCATATTAATGCCTATGGATTTAGAATGGGATAGCATAAAAGCTCCTGTAGGCCTAATGTGTAGGTGTCCCAATACTTTTGTCCATATAGGGTATTATATCTAATTTAGATATAGATATAATATCTAATCTAGTTTGAACTTTATAGTTAGTACTTTAAGATATTTAGTTTAATGTTAGTTAAAGAAAAAGTGTCTACAAAAGCATCTATGGATCTTGGAAAAATGATGACACTTTTTGATACATAAATCCATGCAGACGTCATAAGTGGACCTCAGGATAAAAAAGCATAAGGAAAAGGTAGAATATGGGCCCTTTAAAACTCTTACCATTGCTCCATAAATCCTCACTGAGGCTTTGGTCGACAGTCTGTTAAACACATCAGCTATATGACCTTTGCCATACATTCTATTCATCTATTCGGATCTATTCATTTAATTGTACATAGCACACAGTGACATCAGTCCAAACATCTGTTCGATTCTGAGCCATGTTTGTTCACAAACATGGTAATGTGATGCCATCGATCTTCCAGAAGCTATTGTGTGGTTGTAGGCTACATGCTGTCTCTGGGCCAGAGGGTTCTTTAGTCCTCAGGGCTTCAGGGACCAGTTAAAGAGCCACTGCTCTAGGCTATGTTACCAGCCATGTGACTAGTGAGCCAGCAATATGTGTGAAAGGCCCAAATATTACTTACTGTAGCATTATGGCATTGTAATAGTGTATAGTACAATCTCTTGGATGGACTATAATGGACTCAACACAGTAACACTGAACAATCAACAGGATTTTAAATGTTTTTGGACAGATATTTCCAACCCTACCCCACCTTTTACTTTTTAATTTAGCTCCCATGCTAATCTAGCACACCATTAGTGTCTTCACATCAGATTGAGTATACAATAATGTTAGAACAGTGGGTTTCGTACCTATACTGAGGCCATGCAGTACATTCTACCAAATTATTTTAAACTGGCGTCCCACAGTGAAAAAACTGTTTAAAAAAAGTTAAGTATTCAGACATTAGATATTCATAAGGATTATATTATGATATATTTAAACCCAAGGCATGAATAGAGATAGTAATAACCTAAACGTATACAAAATCATCATTAATAGGGTACCTTCTATTGGGAGATGGCTGTCCCAAACCCTAACTCCTAAATTTCAGTTTGTGAAAATAATAATTACATTTTATGTTTTTTTCTTTATCTTGTTGATTCCTTTTTAAATTCAAGGATTTAGTTAGTTTAGTTTAAGTTTTTGAAGTAAAAAAGCTTTATTCAAGAAATGCCGTCCCTTGTTTTCATGTCACTACTAAAACAGAGTTATAGTCCATAGGTGGAGTCTATTTTAGCCACCGCCCCTGCATTTTAGAGCAAGGAAGTGAGACTGCATCCCTGTCCCTCATGGCCTCATGATGAGCAGTTAGATCCCTTTGTTTTGAAGTAAATTTGTCTCAGAGTCTGAAAATGAATGTGGGACATTAGGAATTGTCACTAGCGAAACACATTTCTTCTGCAATTAAGTAAACTTGTTTGTGTTTTAATAAAAATATTATGATTTCATGTGTGTACAACCGTTTAAAGCAGTGTTTGCTAGTCACGTAATGGCTATCGTTTTTAAGTTCTACTCAAAATAAGCTAAAATGGTAATTACCAAAACAGCCACTACCAAAACCTTACCAAATGTTATGACTGTTTTGGTAGTGGCATAATGGAATGTTCAAAGGTATAGAGTCACTCAAAGCAAAAGAAGTTTAGTCTAAGTCAGTTAAAAGTCTGAAATGTGTTTTGAACTCTGAACCAATTTGGTAGAATCACCCATATATTTGTTTGTTCCTGCCTCAACATCTGAATGACTTCATGAAGAGAGGTAAAAGTGCACTCCATAACGCAGCCTTAATCTAATCTGCAGGCCTTAGATTAAGAAACATGGTATATGTTCACTGAAATGACAGGTTTGGCACTAAACTTTGCCAGAGGGCAGTTTTATAGTACAGGAATTGATCATTCATAGATGACGGGAACATTCTCATTGAAGCAGTCCCAATGCTGCTGCTCACAGTACTGTACCTGCCTCTCGGGAGATCTGAACAAAGGCGTCCACGCCACTCTCTCCATAGTTGCCCTCGGAGGCCAGTGTAGAGACGTAGTTCCAGCCCAGCGCCTTTACGATGTCCACCATGGCCTGCGCCTGGTACGAGTCCGGCGGAACCACCCGCGAGAAGAAGTCATAGCGGTTGTTGTCACTGAGCTCCGGGGCTGTCGATGCATAGCTGATCTGAGGAATCTAGCACAGGAGATGTGGAGATGGGTTTAGGACTTTGCACAAGATTTATTTTTCTTGACAACAGATTTTTTAGTTTAACTCAAACTAAACACGTTTACACAAAGCTAGTTTAACTCTAAGCAATCATGTTATGAACCCTGTTCTCTTGGTGAACATCTTTCAAATATGTTACAATCGACACAATTGATGGAAATGTGTGGGTTTTTACAGTTGTGGTCAACATTACACTCACCTGTCCCCACCTTGTTCATGCTTACATGACCATAATTAGCCGATGAATGGTGGTTTAAAAGGACCAGTTGTATTTCATGCTCCTTGTTCACAATGGCAAGGAGAGGAGAGCTGTCTGAACAGATCAGAAATGCTATTATCACCAAACACAAGCAGTCTGATGGGGTACAAGACTATCTCCAAAGACCTTGGAATCCCAGCTTCAACCGTTCAAAATGTTACAGAAAAGTTTGGAACAGTTAAGAACCTTCCCGGACATGGTGGAAAGAGGAAAATTGATGAGAGAACCCTACGAGAGTTGGTTTGAAATGTGGCAAAGATATTTCATACAATATCCAAAGAACTTCAGGCTGAGCTGGAGACATCTGGATTAAAGGCCAAGCAGGACCCCATTGCTCAAAGAAAGGCATAAAAAAGAGCGAATGAACTTTGCCAAAAGTTACACAGACAAACCACAATCCTTCGGGGAAAGTGTTTTATTGTCAGATGAAACCAAACTAGAGCTCTTTGGCAGTGCATACCAGCGTTATGTTTATAGATGACGAAAAGAAGCCTATAAAGAAAAGTTCACCCTACATACAGTGAAATATGATGGAGGATCCATAATGGCTGCTTTGCTGCCTCTGGGATGGGAGGCCTTGAATGTGTTACAGGAACAATGAAATCAGAGGATTATCAGAGCATTTTAGAGTGAAATATGCTCCCAAGTGTAAGAAAACTGGGTATGAGTGGAACAAAATGGGTCCTACAGCAGGACAATGACCCAAAACACACATCCAAAAGTACACAAGAATGGTTAAGAAGAAAGAAATGGACTATTTTAAACTGTCCAGCAAGGAGTCCAATCCAACTGAAAATCTCTGGGAAGAACTGAAATCTGGTATTGGGAAAAGGAACCATGCAAACATTCAAGAGCTTCAGAGAAGTGCAATGGAAGAGTGGAAGAAATTACCAGCAGACAGGTGCAAGAAGCTCACAGATGGCTACAAAAAACATAAGGAGGCCATCATTGTTGCCAAAGGTTGTGCAACCAAGTAATGGGAAGGGTGCCTTCATTCCTGTCCATGTCATGTACTATGTTTATTCTTTACATCTTTTTAGAAATTACTGCAAGTATGTTGAGAGGACAGGATAATTTTTTTGTTGAATGTGTGCGGACATGCTATATTTCTGAAGATATTGGCTTTTTTATACTCAACAATCAAAGGTGCCAATAATGTTGACGGTAAATGTATTAACAGTTCTCCCTTTGGGCTTGATATTCAGCAATTGGGGTATTAATAATTAAATATAGGGTGACTTCAAAGCAACAGCTTCAAAGAAAAAAGTAAAATTAATGAACTTAAAATAAAGCCCACAAATAACCCTAATCACACTTTCAAACATTGATAAAAGAAATGAAAGGATTAAGGAAACGAACTGTACACCATTGTTTTTATTTTAGTTTTTACTCCTGTAATTAGTTGCCTGGCAACATCTTCAAATTACCCATGTTGTTTTGTCAGTGTGAGTGAAAGTGAGGTGCAAGAACAGATATGAAGGCAAGGCTGCTCAGATTAGAACAAGGAAGAAGCAGCAGGAGACGGAACAAATCAAAATGAGGAGAATGTTTCCACTGATCACACACAAAAACTCTGATTCTGAAAATAGGCAAGGCTACCTGCAACAAGGACATCCTGGAGGGCAGGGAGTGGATTTAGCTAAGGATTTGTTGAGGTACTAGCTAACCAGCTAGCTAGGGTGGTTGTTTAGCTAGCTACTTGGTCATGTATCTAGCTGGCTAGCTATTCGGGAGAAATGGGCTCGTTCTAAAGCTAATACTAGCTAGCTTTGACCATTTATCAGTAGAAGTGGTGACATGGATATCAATGTGGAACCAAATAACAGACAGAAACAAACTGTGTAGCTAAAGCTAACTTGATTATTTTCATCATGTTGTAGCTAGCTAACGTGGCTAATAAGTGACTTCCACTCAGTACCAGAGCAGGCGGCCCCTCTTAAAAGGCTTAAATGTTAATTACGCTTTCCTAATTTCATTTACCTCCTAAAAAAAAGCAGCATAGACCTGCAAGCATTTCAAGCTGCTCTAAACTGGCCTATGCTGGTTTGGTTTTAGTTTAGCTGGCTACCCCAGCATGGTCATGCTGGTTGACCAGCATACCAGCATCAAAACACAACATATGCTGATTTTGCTTGGGCTCAGCATATCAACTTCCATTGCTGCTTGGATACAACTATGTGGGCTAGGCCTACTGCATAAATTGACAAAAGTGGAAATATATTCAGCTGTAATGTCAGATCTAATTTCAATGAATCGCTGTGAAGTTCGAATGACAGGGGGCTAATTTGAGTCTTGCATAACGTTACACCTAAAGAAAGCCTGGTCATGGACTTAATTATGCACAGAAAAAAATGATTTGTGATTCAAATGTGTCATGAATAAAATATGGTACATAAACAAAATTGCTGTTTTCTTTTGGCAAGAAGTGTGTGGATGTAACATATTTTATTCATGTGCAACCATTTTACACATTTGAATCATGTAAATTCAAAGTACCATTTTTTTTCCTGTGTACTGCTGAACGATTCTCTACATTTGTCTTCAGATAACTTCTGGTACAAACCAGATAACGTAATTCATTTAACTCCTTACTTACTGGTAGTCTGCACTTTTTCATTCCCAAGGCTAGATCTAATCTGTCCAGGAGCCCTGACCTATTATTACTTTTACAGTGCATTTGGACTGACAGATTCATGTTAATCTCATTGACCACAACCTATTTACTATGTTAATTGTTCTTTGACGTACCTTAATCCAACCCTGTTAGGCTCCAGTGTACTAATATGTCTGGTTGCAGGGCAGTGCACTTCATGAATGAGTCGGATAAGCTCACCAGCACAGATAAGACTCCACAATGAGGTTTCAGACACAGCTGTTTCTTAGGAAGAGAAAAATGGAGTGGCTTTAGGATCTGCTGACGTGTCAGCAAACACATATAATTCTCAGGTAAGACTCCAAGAAGCATATTTACCACACTTCTTAATGTAGCAGCACTGATGTAGGATCAGGTAGTTGCAGGCTATATAACTGTATTCATTATGACAGTGGTTCCCTTTTTTGGATTATGTGTGCAAGCAGCCCCTAATCCGCATCTGACCAGTATGATTCTAAATTTGTTAATTTCATTGATATTAACCACTTAAGCAGCCGGGTCAGTCAGATTAAAGGCAAGGAAATGGACATGCCTTTTAAATATCACTTACTGTGACTGGTTATTTCTAACAGCAGTAGAAATAGTAATGACTATTGACATTCTTTTTCTGGGAAGTAATAAGAAAAGTATTCCTATTACAGCTCGAGAGAAATAATTAATAATTTGTAAAGGATTACTTTTTGAGTAACTACGTTGATAATGTATACAGATGCATTGAAAAGCAGGCTGACGAATCCAAGCTCCATTGTCATGGTTGCAGTCCAAACAAATGTGCAAGGTGGCGGCAAAGCGGCTTATCTTGTTTGTGGCAGAGCACAAAAGCTTACACTAGAAGGAACACGTAAAAATTGACTATAAAAATGCAGAATTTAAAGAAAATGTATGCTGGACCATAGCTGACAGCCTGGGCAATGACGGTTAGTACAAAAATATGTTTATAGTGTTTTTTTAGTTTCTCTAGGCATAACCTAGTATGTTCATGCTTGGGGAGAACCACAAATTATCAGTGTCCTTATGTAACAACACAGTTCCTTTATGTTGTTCAAAAACATGGTGAAATCCTATATTTAAATAAAAACACATCAGACTTGATGAAGTATTTGTACTTGGTTTGACTAGGCCCTTATATGTCAGGGAAATCAATGAGAAATTATAAAATATTTATTAATACTTTTGAACTACAAAAATATCCCTAAGTTAGCTCCAGCTTTTTTGGCTAACTAGTTTTCACACCTGTCTTGATCACAAGATGTTACGACTGACACAGACTGGTGAAAAGCTAGTTGGGGTTCGATGACGCATCATTACTGTGATGTACTACACTCTTTGCAAGAAGGATTTTACATAGCAGTGGTGTAAAGAAATACATGGTTGGGTTCACCTATGAAAAAGTAAGTAAGTCAACTTGGTAGATTTCCAAATGTGTCCTGGGAGGCCTATAGCTGACATCAGTACTGTCATCACCTTACCTACTTTAATGCTTCTGCCCTATGGTGATACAAAACAATAGCAAGAATATGTACACATCAAACAGAAGGCTTGAGTGGGAGTTCACCAAGCAAGATTTCTCACATATAACTTAAGCCCAAAAAGGGGCATTGTCCAATAGGAATGTCTCTCAGTTGTTTTTCTTTTGGACCAAGCTAAACTGGCTAAACTGAGAAATCCTGCTTTGTGAATTACCCCCCTGGATTCAAATAACCGCAACCAACACTGCAACACCGCTCGCTATGAAGCTTGCGTACGCTCGCCACAGGCACAACTTCTGTTCAATGAAAGAAAAATAACAAAAACCTCAACCTAATCATCCTAAGCTATAGCACACAGGGCATAAAAATCTTTATGGACCATTCATGTCTTACCTTTGATTGCATTGGAGCAGATGTTTGCACTGACACTGTGACACAGCCCATTTTATTCTATGGAGTGAAAAAGCACTGTATATACCAAATCTGGAGACCACTGATGACAACGTTTTTTTCAATTTGTTTTTGGAAATGAGTAGAAAACAGCAACATCGTTGATGGGATCTCATTCCCCAGGTTCATCTTTTGA